TTAAATTTCTGTTATGGCTATAGTCAGAGACAGAATATTCTGCTCAATCAGACGTTGACTTCTCCTGAAATGGCCCTAATATTATTAGCTGATTAAAAAAAAAAAAAAAAACAATTAAGAAGGGTTGAGTTTCATTTTTTAAAAAATCTGCCAAAACTTGTGAGCACTTAGTGAAAAACCAAGGTTTTGTTTACACTTGCAGCAGGACACAGTGAAGGAAGTGATCTCTCCACAAACTAATTACTTCATTTTGCATTGTTTTTGTAGCGCTAAATGAATGAATCCCCCCAACCCCTTGTCCCTTCAAAACTGTCTTTTTATTGTGTCAGACTTGTCACTGTAATCTCTGTTAATTGCAGGCTCCTTGGCAATTTCTCTGCCACAACATTTTCCTGAGGAGAACCACTGGTGAGTATTCAGATGAAAACAAATGCTCTGACAAGCTGCAGTTTTAATTTTTCTTTAGATTGCTTGTAGAAGAGGATCATTATTAGCAGATGATAATTAGAAAGTGGTAACACTTTAATTTGCAAGGATATATTGGAATTCATTAGCATCTGAAAGCTCTGCTGTGCTCTGTGGCAAATGAATTGGAAGTATCAGACTGGCTCCTAATAGCTATGATAAATACCATGCTGCCACCACTGTTTCATCTGTTGATCTCTTTGCCCTGTATTGTATATAAAATACCTTACCAGAGAAGCCAAAAAAGAGTGGAATTCTAGGGATGTGTTTTATCCATCCTAGTATCTCATCTACGGTGACCATCTCAAGGTAGTTCTCTGTCTTTCACTGGAGAGAGACAGGAACTTTTCTCCAGAGGTTACCTCAGAGGCATTATCCCCTCTGGGCTAATGGAAGGTAAGGTGGCAATTGGAAGAAGTGACCAAAGCTATGGAAGAAAGATGCTTTTCAAGAAAAGAGCAGAATCATTCCAAATGGTGATAGCCATTAGATCATGGCATTCAACAGAAGGAGACAGGCACTTCCAGAGGCTGCTTCATCACTGTGAAGTATTGGAGCCAAGAAGGTCAGTTCACAGTAGATGTCTAACCAGCCTAAGACTCTAAAAATAGATATAAATAGATATAGATATAAAAACATATTTTGACACCCTATGACTGATTCTCTGTTCTCTATGAATTGCTGGGTTTCATCTGTCAAAAGCATCTTTTCTCAGCATTTTCCAGCAAGCTGCAAGTATCAGCTAATTAAAACAGCATGAAAGTAGAGGCAAAACTCTGTTTCCTTAGAGTCTTTGAGCAAACTGCAAAGCTGTCCTTACAATACACAGATCCTGCTCCCTTGCATGAAGTAGTTGTGTTCAGCCAAAATCATTGGCTTTAGCCTTCCCAATAATTTTCCAAGTGTGTCCCCGGCCCAGATATCCCTGTCCTGGATGCTGGTATCTTTAGGTACAGACCAGCCTTCTAATTTCCTTTGATCATTCACTTATAGGTGTCTATTCCCCTACCAAGACAGGAAACTAGAGCATAACCTGAGGACTACTGATTACGTTCATAGGAGATAATTTTTGTTTTGAACTATTATGAAATACAATTACACCAGTAAAGAGTATTTGCTGGATTCTTCTGCTAGGATAAGCTGCAATAAAAGTATAAACAATGCTGACTTTACATTGTCAGTGTGAGTTTTCACTGTTAATCATTTATTGAGGTAAATGGGAAGTCACACTTGTCAAAGCTGTTGTCTCAGAAGACTGCAAACTCAGGCTAGAACCACATCAAGGAACACTATTTATGAACTTTCCATTGGAGGTGTTTCTGGATTATTTTTCGTTGTTGTTACCATTTTGCTTCAAATCATTTCCTCTTTCACCTTCAATTTACCTCTATTTTGTCAAATTTCAGAGCCATGAGGAATGAATGCATGCATTTTGCAGTTTATGGCTGAGGTGGAAGAACAGCCTCCTGAGAGCTTGAATTGCCAACAAGAAGGATTTCAGAGCTGAAAGCTTTGAACTCCAGAGCACTGTTTCCCACAGCAGATGTAGAAACATAATTCAGCTAAACCTTGCAACCTCCACGCATGTAGGGA